TGCCTAGTAGACAGCGACGTAGTAAGCGAAATGATAAAAATCTGAGGGAGATAACCACCAGCAGAACAGAAAATAAATTACTTAGTGCAAAGGGAGAAAAAAAAAACATTAAGCAGTGCTTCTTCACCTTAAAAGACCCTGCTCTTGTTTAGTTTACATCACTGGTGACGATAATTAGTATGGTGGCCACACGCTGTGAATTTCTTAATGCATTTTTTTTGTCAGCTTGAAAATAAAGTTCAACTCCATTTCACAAATAAGACGTGAGTTTGCTTGTTGGGCTTGCTGACTAAGTGTGACGTTAGACTCTCCAATAATTCAAATCTTTTCCACAGTCAAAAAGAAAAATCTTCCTTGGAAGTCTTCTTCTGAATTAGTATTCATGGTCATGGATGAATATGTAAGTTAAATTGTTCCCAAGCCACCACAAGCTGCTGGCAGTTTCTGCTTTCCCAGGTGACTTGTTTCATCTATAAAGATGTTCCAGCCGCCATGCTACACGATTAAAAAACATAAGACATGCACATACTTACATCAAGTGGGAACTCGTGAGGACGGGGTTCAGCTGCTGACAAGTAAATAGACAATACCGAGATGCAATCAAAAGGATGAATTACTGCACACTACAACCACTGTATGCTGCCAGAGAGTCTCCTAATGCTGCAGCAACATATGCAGCGAGGACACGAGGCTAATATTTGATTTAAGGAATGACGAGGAAAAATGCTGCAGTGCTATTTTTTCCCTAGGATTTTTTTTCGTGTGTGTGTGTGTTAGTGAAAACAACAGAAGAACCCCCGTGGCAAATCCGTGCACACACACACACAAACACACACTTGCAGAGTCACAAACACAGAGACATACACAGAAAAAACATGCAGTCACACACAGTAGCTCAGTGGGGGGAAGGATTTAATAAACCCACAGTAACATGGATCTACGGGGGTGTCTCGGGACCGAGCCAGGAAACCAGATGAATGTACCTGCCCTCGGGCACAGAAGGAAACAGCAAGGGTTGGGTGGGTGGACTGAAGTGAAGGGCTATGGTGTGTGTGTGCATGTGCATGGGGGGGAGTGAAGCCACAGGCACATTAAGCCTCTCATTGCCCTGACTTTTTCTTTCTTCTGCCATCAGTCTCTTCACTCGCCCACTCTGTCTCTGCTCACATCATCAGCCACAACGAAAGCCATGCCCACAAACACTGATGTGTTTGTCAGAGAAAATGCCCAATCACTTTAATAGCATTTCATGCCATCTCCACTTTCACCAAGGACTTGGAGTTTGCTCCTCAGTCGGATAAATGGGGACTGTAATTTCAGACAAACGCAATGGAAATGCCGAGTGCAGCCAATCAGATGTAATCATGTATGAAGAAATGTAATTCTGGAGGACACTGGGGCAGAGCGGGTTGATATGGATATTAGTTACTATGCAAAAAGGCATGTCCATACGCCCCGAATATGAATTTATGAAGCCTGCTTGTGATTTCAATCTGACTAATGTATCAGAACAAACCCATCTGTGCAGCACTGACCCCTGAGGTGAGGGTTTTTGGAGGGGTTTGGAGAGGAGGGGGCACTGAGGGGGAAATGCTTCGAGCGTGGGCGACTGGTTTGTGCTCCCACCATGTACGAAGGTGGTCAGTGGGAAGGCAAATTAAATCTTTTGCCCACATTCATAAGGCTTTGAAGAAGGGGGGATGACAAAATGAAAAGAAAAAACATCACTCCAGACCAAGTTCCATGGGAAAAATTTTATTTATCAATATGCGGTAGTTTCCAAACTGGTGGAACGTTATTTCCATTGTAGCTGGTGCCAACAGGTTATGCTGAGAAGCTGCAGAAAAAAAAAGTGAACGGCAAAATGAAATAAAAAACAAAAACTCGACAGCTGTGATTCAAACAAAGGGAAACGAATTCAACAGGTTCTGCTTACACATGCACATTGAAAAATAATACTGTGGCTTTGAACAATAGCAGAAATCAACCTACAGTGAGGCTCGTGCCACGAGCGACCAGCATCCTTGTGCTAAATTGGGAAGGGAGTGATGACAAAGGAGAGGGGCGGAGGGAGGGAAAGAGAAGGAGAGAGCATCTTTAAAACAAAGGACCGCCTGGGAGATAATGAGTGGTGTAAACCAGATGATTTATTGGCGAGCGCAGTACGGCCACACACTCATACATGGCCTCCTTTTCTCCTCCTTTCTCTCCCTCTCTCTACATCTCTCTCTCTTTCTCAGTCTGGCCCGACAGACTTATTAAAACTGAGGAAAGATTCATCTTTGCGGGCCCAGAGTGTTTTACATCTTATAATGGAGTGGAAGGTGCAGGTAACTCAAAGGCAGTGGAATAACAGTCTTCATATGCAGAGTTAAGTGCCATCTCCAACAGGGAAGGGCCTTATCACTCACAGCTTCAGCGTGACGCATCCTTTTCAAAGCCACTCTGTGACAAAGCTTCAGTCCTGAACAGCTTCTAGTACAATTTGTGTTTAATGGCAATGTAAAAAATAAAATAAAATAAAAATCTGAACCCCATTTTTTTCTTTTTAAAACACATGTGGTAACAAAGACTTTTCTTTATTTTGACAATACTGGACAAAGCTGCACAAAAAAAGGCAGCTCATGTGAACTTTTGCAATATTAACTCTAAAGGAAAAAGTAAATAAAAACATGTTGCAGAGACCAAACAAAAAAAAAAA